GCCACAACGCCTGGCTGTTTTTTGGTTGCAGCCATCATTGTTGTTTTGGCGGGTCCGGGCTGGGGATTGGAACCCACCACCTTAGGTGTACATGGCTGGCGCCTTAGCCGGTTGAGCCATAGGCGCCGAGCCGAAGAGGGTTATATCTATTGATAACTACATATTATAAATCAAAACTGAAAAATAGTGCAAATATTCACTTATTAATTCGTTTTAAAATAATTATAAGCATGCTATCACTAGTTGTTAACATAAATATCACATATATTTAATTTCAGAATACTGTACAGGCATATTTGTTTTGGTTACATAATTTGCTTTTCTACATTTTCAGTCCAAGTTATAAGTGTGCCCTTTACCTAGAATGTGTGCATTGTACCTGTTAGGTGTGAATTAGCCCAGCCTCTCGCCCCTCCTCCCACCTACTTGACTCCTACTGAGTTTTACTTCCGTATGTGCACATAAGTGTTGATTGACTAGTTCCAATTTAGTATTAAGTACATGTGGTATTTGTTTCACGTAGAAGAATGGTCTCTAGTTCCAGCCAGGTTGCTAAAAAAGATAATAGATCACCCTTTTCTTAATAGCTGAGTAGTACTCCATGGATATATATACCACATTTTATCCATCCACTCATGTATTGATGGGCACTTGGGTTGTTGCCACATCTTTGCGATTCTCAATTGTGCTGCTATAAACATTTGAGTGCATGGGTCTTTTTTTTTATAAGACAGAGTCTCACTATGTCCCCCTCAGTAGAGTGCTGTGGCATCACAGCTCACAGCTCAAGACTCTTGGGCTTAAGTGATTCTCTTGCCTCAGCCTCCCAAGTGGCTAGGACTATAGACGCCCGCCACAATGGCCAGCTATTTTTTTGTTCCAGTTGTTATTGTTGCTCAGCTGGCCCCAGCAGGGTTCTAACCTGCCAGCCTGGGTGTATGTAGCCAGTTCCCTACACACTGAGCTATGGGCACCACCTGAGTGCATGTGTCTTTTTGATAAAATGTCTTTTTTTCCTTTGGGTAAATACCCAGGAGTGGGATTGCTGGATCAAATAAATGGGTAAGTCTACTTTTGGTTCTTTGAGGTATCGTCATACTACCTTCCATACAGGTGGTACTAGTTTGCAGTTCTATCAATCGTGGAACTCTGCATCCACACTAGCACTTGTTGTTTTGGTACTTTTTGATAAAAGCCATTCTCACAGAATTAGATGGAGTTAATGATATCTCATTTCCCTGATGAATAGAGATGTTGAGCATTTTTTCATGTGTTTGTTGGCCATTAGGCTATCTTTGCTTGAAAAGTTTTTGTTTATGTCATTTTTTTAAAAAGAAGTCTACCAAATACCCAAGTCTGAATGATAAAAGTTTGTCTGACAGTTGTACTTTTAAGTAAAAATCATGTTCCATTAAAAAAAAAATTAGCCAGTTAGGCCCTCAACTCAAACTATCACACAAGTATTTTTCCTCAAAACATCTTCACACTTTGGTATGTGATAGAATTACTTTATGTGTACTTCCCATTTAGCCCCAAAGGATATTCAAAGATGCATATTCAATGTACAAAGAATACAATGACTACCAGCACACTTTCGTGCCATTGTCTTGATCCAAGCTGAGGCACTAGCAATTTTGCCCACCATTACTTTTATACCATTGGTGCAAATGTCAGTACAGCAGACAAAAAGGCAAATAGGATCTCAGTGTTACTGTGAAAACAGTTCCCTTGCAGAGTCCGTGAAAGGGTCTTGAAGAGCAGGGCTCTGTAGACCACTTCTTTGAGACCACTGTTTTAATTCAATCTGACTATAATTAATGAAATACTATGGGGAAAATGTAGTCTTTCAAAATCCGAATGTTATAAACAATTAAGAGAGATTTTCCCGGCTCGGCGCCTATAGCTCAACCGGCTAAGGCGCCAGCCACGTACACCTAAGGTGGCGGGTTCGAATCCCCAGCCCGGACCCGCCAAACAACAATGATGGCTGCAACCAAAAAATAGCTGGGCATTGTGGCGGGCGCCTGTGGTCCCAGCTACTTGGGAGGCGGAGGCAGGAGACTCGCTTGAGCCCAGGAGTTGGAGGTTGCTGTGAGCTGTAATGCCACAGCACTCTGCCCAGGGGGACAGCTTGAGGCTCTGTCTCAAAAAAAAAAAAAAAAAAGAAAGATTTTCCCTAAAAAGGCATTTATCAATTACAGAATACATTTCATTGTACAATTTTAATCATTAAAAAATCAATAAATCATGCAGAAATATTTCCTACCTGATTAATGTAAAAATGACCACAATAACAATTACATAAAATGACATATTTTATTGTATTTCTAAGTATATTTAAGGTTTATTAAGAATCTTATAAATCAAAAGTGGTGATTGCTTGCTCCCAAAAAATATGTCTCCCAGGCGGTACCTGTGGCTCAAAAGGGTAGGGCACCAGTCCATATGCCTGGAGGTGGAGGGTTCAAACCCAGCCCTGGCCAAAAAACTGCCAAAAAAAAAAGACCCAAAATATGTCTCATTTGCTTTAGTTTATGATTTCTACTTAGCTGACAAAAACACTGATATAATTCTAACATATATATATATATATATATATATATATCATCTGTAACTATCATTAACCAATCACCTAGTGACTATCCTACCTGAGCACTCAGGGCTTATCTGATGTTGAACCAAATCCACATCTTCATCCGACCCCTCCTTGGCCAATTTTATTTTCTCAGAGCAGTTTTCCTCTTTATCATCATGACTATTTCTTCTTTCTTCTGTTTTACTGCTTTCTGCGTGGTCTTCTTTATCAAAGTTCAACTTGCTTGCAGTTTCAACCTAAAAGTAATTTCCAAAAAAATTTCCAAAAAAAGTTTTTAAAAGACTATATTTTTTAAAACTTTCATTTCTACGGTATTTTGAAACTCATACAAGCATATGTGAGAATGTACATAAAAATACACACTTTAAGGCTCACACCTGTAACCCTAGCACTCTGGGAGGCCAAGGTGAGAGGATTACCTAAGTGCAAGAGTTTGAGACACACTGAAAACCCTGACTTCATTATTATATGATGGACCCATGTAACAAACATGTTTGTACCCCCTTAATATTTTGAAAAAAATAATTTTTTTTAAGTGATTAGTCGGGGTTTGGTGCCTGTAGCACAGTGGTTACAGCGCCAGCCACATACATCAAGGCTGGTGTGTTCCAACCTGTCCCAGGCTAGCTGAACAACAACAACCGCAATAAAAAAAAACAACAGGTGGCACCTGTGGCTCAAAGGGGTAGGGCACCAGCCCCATATGCCAGAGGTTGTGGGTTCAAACCCAGCCCCAGACAAAAACTGAAAAAAATAAAATAAAATAAAATGAATGGTGGGGCGTTGTGGCAGGCACCTGTAGTCCCAGCTAGTTGGTAGGCTGAGGCAAGAGAATTGCTTAAGCCCAAGAGTTCTATGTTGCTGTGATCTGTGACACTATGGCACTCTACTGAGGGTAACATAGTGAGACTGTGTCTCAACAAAAAAAAAAATGTTACTAGTCTGAATTGAGATCTGCTTCTAATGAGAGTCTTCCAACCAGAATCCTGTGCTTTAGCAATTTATTTATGTTTATGCTAGTCACAATTTTTCTACCTCAGTTTGGTTTCCCTTTACATCTTAACAAAGTTCATTCTGAAAACACCAGCTTCACACAGCTGTGTTTTCCTAAAGGAGAACAAAAAAGACACCCCAAGGAACACAGGCCTAGTGGTCTGTGTACTATGGTGAGGGTCCCAGTGGAAGCAAACACAGCTCAAGGAAGAGGCAAGACCTCCGGGAGAAAGAGCTACTTTCCAAAGGAGTGCCTTTCCCCTCCCAACAGGGGGATTTCTGCTCCAGCTCTTCTGGTCTCAGCCCTCAGCAGGTTTCATGTTCTGTTTGTACCCACATGCTCAACTTTGTAACACTGCAATCTGTAGTCTCCTTGCAAATCTCCGGGGTAAAAGATGGGTGGTGCTGAGAAGTAAATCTCTAGGTACACAGGACTGAGTGTTAATCTCTCTGCCTGAACCAGGACATAAACCCAGTAGAATTGAGCCAAGACAGTAGGATTAATAATCACAGCCACCATTCATGAGGAATTGGTCTCAGACGGGTCCTGCCTCATTCACTCCTCGCAATGCCTCTATAATACGTGTACATATTATCACCCCGAGTTAACAGAGAAGAAAACAGATCCAATAGGGAATGAAACTAGTGAAGGCCCAATTTATAAATAAGCAAAACAGTACCTACTTTATGTAATCTTGGAGGCATTAAATGCCTTAAAAATCATACTTCTTTCAAAGGCCAGAAAATGCATGAAATTCCACAATATCCAGTTAAACCTAAAAGCTACATGGTTCTGTGAAAATGCTAACATTTCTGGGAGAAGTCACACAAGTTCCATCAGTCATTTATATCTTGGCATAAATGAATTTAGCAGACCTTTCTCTGAAAATGGGATTCATGTGGAAGAATACAGAATACACAGAATATAGATGATAGTAGCATACTTGAATAGCACATTCCAGGGTATACAGAGACTTCCACACATATCAGCACCTATGATCCCAGCTCAGAAGGGACAGAAATCAATGAAGCGAAAAGCAAAACTGGAGAAATACAGGCAAAAATCTTACCCATGGTTTCCCATCTGATAACTACCAACCATCTTCCCCATCCCATTGTCTGCTGCCCTCTGTTCCAAACCCCCTCGCTCCTCTAACCTGTGATCTGTGTGTATAATTTTCCTTTCTTCTTCATTCTCGATATCACATTCCACCTCTGTTTTTCTTTGGTCCACGTCCGAGATTCCATTCCTCCATCTCAATCCCAGGAAAGGTAAATACCTCATGAAAACCCTTCCCAACAATTAGATCCCCTCCTTGAGATCCATGAGATTTTTACAACTATTGACTTTTTCAAGGAAAAAGTAACATAAGTATAAGTGAGTTTAAGTTACTTATAAGTAACATATGCACAGGTAACAACAAACCAAAATGTTTAGAATAAGAAATACATTACTACTACTGAAATGTCACTAAAACTCTAGCACTTTGAACTCACTTTCTGCTGTGTGAATATCTTTGGTGAAATTTTAATAAAAGACAAATCCGAACAATAAAACTAGCCAAAACACCAATACATGAGGCTTTATAGACTGATCTGCATTCAGTAGCCAGCACATAGTCTGTCTGAAGCTTTCTTCTCCAATCTGAAGTAAACCTTACTAATTTTCTATTAACTTGATTAATATAAATCAGCTTGTAAAGGCTTTGTTCTTAATATAAATATCAAAGCCCACATTAGCTAATAAATATTCTAGAATTTGACCTAGAGCTTAGTAAGTTCACATAAACTCTGACTTGGAGTGATCACTGATATCTTTATTTTAAATGTCTTGAATGAGGTAATATTAATCTTTGTATTAAAACACGTGTAAGTATCAATATCATGAAGTTGTTGCTTAAAAAAAAAATCACCCAGAAATATATATGCAGGAATAGAATACTAATTCTATGCTGTTCCAAAATTTTTCAGGTCTCTGTAGATTATCATAGCTATTTAAAATGGTCAAGACTGGTGGGACCACACCTATGGTCCATCTTATAAGGGTACATGTGAATCTTTCTAAATGCAGAATATAAATGTCTTAACACAATAACTAAGAAAATTCCATGAAGGCTATGTTAACCAGTTTGGTGAAAATATTTCAAATTATATATAAAACCAGCACACTGTACCCCCCCAAAAAATAAAATAAGATAAAATAGGCAAGTCTTCATCCTAAATTTATTGAACACATATTTCGTGAAACCTACTATGTTAGCTGATTATTGAGAGAAACATAGGAAAGAATGATCTATTGAATTACAGAGTGGAGGCCAATAGCTAAAACGTGTTGAATCCCTAGTAGGTGCCAATTACTGTTCTAAAAACTTTAGATTGTATGTCATTTTATCCTCAAAATATGCCTATTAAGTAGATAATATTATGACCCCTTTGAACAGAAGAGAAAGCCATGGCACAGAGGATGGAAATAATTTGCCCAAGATCATACAAAACATAAATATTAAGTCCCCAATTTGCTGGATTGAGGTGGAACACATTCTTCTTAGTAAAGCATCACAAAAATGGAGAAGCAAGAATCCAATGTACTCAACTCTAATATGAAGGCAGGAGATGATCTAATACAAGGTGGGGGTAAGGGAATGAAGGAGAGGGGAAAGGAAGGGGCTGGGAGTCATGGTATATGGCACACCTCTTGCGGGCAGGACACAATTATAAGAGGGACTTTATCTAATAAATGCAATTAGTATAAACTAATTCTCTGTACCTTTAATGAATCTCAAATAATAAAATAAATAAATGAATAAATAAATCCCTAATTTGGAGGGGCACCTGTAGCTAAGTGGTTAGAGCGCTGGCCACATGCTCCAGGACTGGTGGCTTCAAACCCGGCCTGGGCCTGCTAAACAGCAACAACAACAACAACAACAACAAAAATAGCCAGGCATTGTGGTGAGTGCCTATAGTCCCAGCTACTTGGGAGACTGAGGCAAAAGAATCACTTGAGCCCATGAGTTTGAGGTTGCTGTCAGCCATGATGCCATAGCACTCTACCGAGGGTAACAAAGTAATACTGTTTCAATAAAAAAATAAAATAAATAAATCCCTAATTTGAATCCAGGTGGTCTGACTCCAGAGTTTACTCTTATAACCACTATGCTTGGAACTAAAGAATCTAAATTGGTTTTAGATTTCACTGTGGGCTACATGGAAGACAGCATAATCTCTATTTAGAAAAGCATAGACGAGCTCTCAGAAACATTAAGGAAATTGCTCATGGACAGAAGTTAAAAGGAAACTTAAAATTGGGAGCCTTATAAATCCTTACATCAGCTGGTGTGGCTGAGGGTGGAGGTAAGAGCAACAGGAAAGGAGACTAAGGATTTGCTAGCCTCAGAAAGTGATGGGCTTGGGTTTTAATGCCCATGCAAGGCTAAGACTGGGCCTGTGCCCATGCGAGACAAGATGAAAAGGACTCCTCCCCCTCCTGCTCCATAAAGCGGTATCTCACAAAGAGGTAAATATTCAGTGACAGAATAGACTAGAAAAACACATCTATCCATAAGCACAGGGTAATAGTAAAAAAGGTATCTGGGGCCAGGCAGGGTGCGGTGGCTCATGCCTGTAATCCTAGCACTGTGAGAGGCTTAGACAGGTGGATTGCCTGAGCTCAGGCATAAGAGCCTTGCTCAGCCTGAGCAAGAGTGAGACCCCATCTCAAAAAAATAGCTGGGTGTTGTTTTGGGTGTCTGCAGTCCTAGCTCCTTGGGAGACTGAAACAAGAGGTTTGCTTCAGCTCAAGAGTTTGAGGTGAGAGAATGTCACATAAAAAAATCTGCAGTAAAATTCAAGAAATCTGTGAGTGCTCTCTACACACATCCTCTAAAAAGAAAACTTAAAATGAGTTGTTAACAACAACCTTGGTTTCATTAATTGCTGGGAGGTTGGGAGGAGTTTAAATCATTTCTTAACAGGAAATTACCATGAAACACCCTGGTTCAGGTGAGAGCACCTCCAAAGAAGCATTTGAACTTCTGCTCCCTGTACGTGTTCTTGAATTTGAAGCTGGTTTTGAAATTCCATCTAGGTTTCCCTTTATAATGTCCATCGATATCCTGAAACAAACAAACAAAAAATTAAAAAGCAAGTGACTTGGATCTTTAAATGTTTCATGTACTAGTGTTAATATCCAATTACTCAGAGCCTTGGTTTTAAGCATTATGTTACCACCAAAGTCACACTGTGGGGCTCCCCAATTTCATCAAAAGACATCTTGTATAGATGTTAAACTTTATGCCACAGTAGGCATAAAACATACTGCCCAGGATATCAGATACTGAACGTGGCTAAAGAGGATGCAGAAGTGAATGCCGTCTGGTGACTTCCTGCCCTTCTAGAAGAAAACACTTACTATGGCTTTGGTCTTTCTTTTTTTTTTTTTGAGACAGAGCCTCAAGCTATCCCCCTGGGTAGAGTGCTGTGGCATCACAGCTCACAGCAACCTCCAACTCCTGGGCTCAAGTGAGTCTCCTGCCTCCGCCTCCCAAGTAGCTGAGACCACAGGCACCCGCCACAACGCCCAGCTATTTTTTGGTTGCAGCCATCATTGTTGTTTGGCAGGCCCAGGCTGGATTCGAACTCAGCAGCTTAGGTGTATGTGGGTGGCACCTTAGCCACTTGAGCCACAGATGCCAAGTCGGCGTTGGTCTCTCTGAGGGAACATTCAGGGGGCACCTCTGCCTCTCAATCAAAATGGACTTCATCTCAGTGATTTGCTAAGGCCTCACTGCTTCCTTTGATTTCCTTATTCTAGCCTTTTCCATTCTAGCGCGGCCGTAATTCTCAACTTCCCTCCTGGTTCTGAATTCTCCTCTCCTTCTTGCTGCCACATTTTCATCAAGTACTCATCTCCAGGGCACTGTTCTCATTTTATCAATCCTCCCCTTCTAAAACCCGTAGTTCTACTTCTGCCCTGTGAGACAAGACACAGAAACCTACTTCCTTTATTAAAGGACAGACTTTCATTTTCTGCCCACACAGTGCCAGTCCTTCTAACTATTTTTCATGTGACAACATACATAGGCCTCTCGCCCTCCTGGCTGTTCTATTCCCAGTGCTGTTTCCTAAAGCAAGACATACCAGGCAGGGTGGTTTAAGCTAGAGGGAGAGCATGGGGAATGCAGGCACAATGATCCTTCCAAACTGTGCCCTTGTCCAGGACCATTCCATATTTGTCCAGTGATATTGGGGTAACATGCATACATAGTAAAATAGAAGAAATAGGGATACTTCCAGTTTTTTGCCCTCTCAATACTTAGCTTTACATATGAAGAGGTGTCTTCCAACAAATCTTTTCCTAAATTCCTATCCATTACATATTAAACCATTTCCCTCATAACAAAATGAAGGAAGGCAATTACCTGTACTACCACAATATCCTTCTCTTGCCCTATAAAATGACTCATCTTTCTTTTTTTGAAGAGCAGAAGCAGAATCCAGAGAAGCTTTTAGCATAGAAGGAAGCACAAATATAAACAATCTGAAGCTCCTCCCAGGTCCATAGAAGGATAATATGGTTTGGTCTCCAACCATTTCAATGCACCAAACCTGATGCTTAAGAAACTAATTTCCCAGTAGGGCAACTCTTTCCCTCTCAGCAAATGAAAAAGGCATTGATTGATCTCAGCATTATTCAAGCTCTGCAAAAGGATTTGGGCTTACTCAGGAAGGCACTGACATTATTATTGTGGGATGATGAATCACTATGGCCCTTCACATCACAACCAAAAAGCATAAGTCACCAAAAGGCCAAATGTCTTGCAAATACCCTCAGCAGCCTGACAAGGGAGACTTATTGTAGCTTACAGAGGGAGCAATGAGCTGGGAGCATGTGCAGAGCCACTATAATACATGCAATGAAGAGAGAGGCTGAGGAAACCATCAATAACCTGCTTTAGAAACAGGTCTCTTTTATTATGTTCACTCCTGAGAATAAAAATGAAATAAAATACAGCTTCCGAGGTAGGGAGGGGTGCAACTGACAGATTATCTTATGAATTTGGACCAACAGAAAAAGGTATGAATAAAAGGCATTGAACTCTGATCTTAGAGAGGTATTTGAGTGTTTGAGAAGAAATCCTAATTGCACATGAAAATTACACAAGAAAAATAAAGCATATACAAGAAAAAAGCAATCAAACAATATATAAGTAGTCATAATTACACAAGCACTGCATGTTTAAACAAACATTGTGTTTTAAGAATACTGTATGTAAGGAAAAGTACAAAAGAAAAAGGGTAGTGTGAAAAATCTTACTTGGAAGCAACCCAAGTGCTCGTCAACCCAAGAATGGATTAACAAACTGCGGTGTATGTATACCATGGAATACTATTCAGCCATTAAAAGATGGAGACTTTACATCTTTTATATTTACCTGGAGTTGAATGAAACACATTCTTCTCAGTAAACTATGTCAAAAATGGAAAAAAAAATCCAATGTGCTCAATACTAATATGAAACAATATATAAACAATTACATGTCCACCCAAACCATAAAACACAAATATAGTCTAGCAAGGGGAAGGGGAGGAAATATGGAGGGGAGGGATGAGAGGGGCAGGTGACTGGTGGGGCTGGGGGGGAGCTGATGGGCTCTAACCTAACATGCACAGTGCAAGGGGGTTCAGCATGCCCCTGGGTGAAGGGCTCAACTAAAACTTGAACTTTGCCTTGGAAGCAAGAACATTGTAACCTAAAATTTGTACCCTCATATTAATTTGAGATAAAAAATTAACAAATAAAGAAGGAAAAGAAAAAACATATTCAAGATAATCACCTCTGTGGAATGAGACCAGAGAACGGTCTCATTTTTTCCCCTCTATTGTAAAGACTATTTGTAATTTTTGACCATATTACTTTAATAAAAGTAAAGACTCATATTAAAAGTAAAAAGGTAAAATATGAAATATCCATGTAATTGGAGGGAAACATAAAGATAGTTTGCATATATGGAATTAAAGACTTATTAAGCATGAACATACATAAATCAAAAAGGAAAAGACTAATAAATTTAATTCCATAACACTTAATGCCCTTTAGTCTCAAACATAAAAAGAATTTTAAATGAAATTTAAAAGCACCTGGGAAACTGAGGAAAATGCATGATATATATTCTAGCATAGATGATATATGAAAGGCTAATAAACTTACATATTTATAGAGCTTTCATTAGGAAAGACTCTTTGGCCTAGAAGATGTGTATTTCCTAGAAAAGGAACTAAAACAGCATATAAGTGATCAATGGCAAGAAAATCAAGACTCATAGAGAAAAAAACTTATTCAAAATGGGTAATAGACCTAATAGACCTAATGTAAAACTTAGAACAATAATATTTCTGAAATATATGTGTGACTGTGGGTTATACAAGACTTCTTGGGAAAAAATCACAAACGTGATTCATAAAAGAAAGTATTAATAAACTGAAATGCATTAAAATTTAAAACTTATACTCTTCAAAAGATACTAAGAAAAGGAAAACAAAACCCAAAGACAAAACCCAAAGACTGGGAGCAAGTATTTGCAAAACACATTATCTGACAAAGGACTTGTATCCAGAATATATTAATATAAAGAAAAATCAAGAGCCAATAGGAGACAAAAGATTTGAACCACCATATCACCCAAGAAGCCTTATAAATGGCAAATTAGCACAGGAAAAGATGTCCAACATCATTATTCCTTAGAAAACTTCGAATTAAAACCACAATGAGATATCACTACATATTTACTTGAGTGGTAGAATTAATTTTCTAGAAAACTGACAATACCAAGTGCTGACAAAGTCGGGGAACAACTATAACTCTCATATATTACTATTGAGAATACAAAATAAGACAAACACTTTTCTAAAGTTCTTGGCTGTTTCTTATGAAGTTAAACATACATATACCATATGACTCCATGAGCTCATTTCTAAATATTTACCCCATGGCTCGACACCTGTGGCTCAAGTGGCTAAGGTATCAGCCACATACACCTAAGGTGGTGTGTTCAAATCCAGCCTGAGCCCGCCAAAACAACAATGACGGCTGCAACCAAAAAATAGCTGGGTGTTGAGGCTCTGTCTCAAAAAAAAAAACTGGAAACAATCCAAATGTCCCTCAAATAGGGAAAAGATAAACTAGGGAATACCCATACAGTGAATTACTACTCAGCAATGTAAGGGAACAAACAACCAATACGAGGAACATGGATGAATATCAACTACATTATGCCAAGCTGAAAGAAGCCAGGGTCACAAGTCTACAGGACGATTGCTTCCAACAACATGACATTGTGGAATTGGCAAAACTATAGGAACCGAAAACTTTTGAGCAGCTTCCAGGGCTAAGACTTGGGGATTTTGAGGAGAATACGGAACTGTTCTGTACCCTAATATATAACTATGTGTAGTCAAAATTCAGAGAACTGTAAGTTTAAAGGGTGAAGTTTACCATAGGTGAATTATGCCTCGATTTTAGTTACCATCTTTGTACTAATCTTTCTTTCGTTATACTCATACATTCATAACATAAACTAGAATTGCTGAGACAAAGAACAATTGAGTTTCCAACTTTGGTAGTGTGCCAAACTGTCCTCCAAAAAGTATGTGGCAAATTATGCTGCTACCACAGCAGATGAGATGAAAGTGCCTGTTTCCCCACACTGGCCGAGAGCCACTCTGATTATCCTCAACGCCTTGTCATCTTTGCCAGTCTGATAGGTGTCAAAAGGTATGTGTAGGCTTGATTTAATTTTATTGAGTCTCTAGAGTGAAATACTTACTGGCCATCTTTTTCTTTTTTTTTTTTTCTCTGAAATGCCTATTTGTATCTTTTGCCATTTAAGACTAGCTTAAATGATTATTTCTAGATCTTAGTGGCCGGAAGGCACTGCAAGATAGAAGTCTCTGCTACCAGAACCTAATATGTACGTGTATTATAATGTCAGGAAGGTCCGGGGTTCCAGGAAACCCCTACGAAACAGCCTGCGTGGATGCAGAAAGCCCCAGGGTTTAGACTTGCGGGCCGTCCTCGCGTCCTGGCCCCGCCCACTTGCTAGAGCCCGCCCC